TCACCTTCAATTAATTCACGCGTTTCTCCCACTGTGTTCTAGAGGTGCAGCCAGGCGTGCCGACAACTTAGTAGACTGTGTGTGTTTGTGTGCGCGCATGTGTGTAAGATGAAAAACAAATAATTATTTTGTTATAACTTTTATTTGTGTATGATATGTTTGATCATCCATTGAACCTTCTTGAGCTCTCACGTGTTTGCATAGCATACATTGAATATGTGTGATTGGAAAGAGGGAGTTAGTGAGTTAAGTTTTGAAGCTCTGTAATTGATTGATTTATGTGCCTAAAATATTAGGGCTGGGCGATTAGTCAAAGGGGATTTTTGCGCACATTGTGTCAGTGAAGCCAGCTCTACACTAAAATACATACACCTGCTACTTTATTAGGTATACATTACTAGTACTGGGTTGGAGCCTTTTTTCCCTTTAGAACTGTCTTAATCCATCAATGACATTAAATTCACAAGTTACTGGAAATATTCCTCAGAGATTTTGGTCCATATAGACATGATCGCATCTTGCAGTTGCTGCAGATTTGTCGGCTGCACGTCCATGATGCAAATCTCCCAAAGGTGCTTTATTGAATTGAGTTCTGGTGACTGGGGAGGCCATTTGAGTACAGTGAACTCATTGTCAGGTTCACGAAACCAGTCTGAGATGATTCACGCTTCATGACATGATGAGTTATCCTTCTGCAAGTCATCATCAGAAGATGGGTACACTGTGTTCATAAAGGAATGGAAATGGTCAGCTACAATACTCAGGTAGGCTGTGATGTTGCTCTATTGGTAATAATGGGCCCAAAGTGTGCCAAGAAAATATCTCTCACACCATTACACCATAATAACTATCCTAAACCGTTGATACAAGACTGTATGGATTCATGCTTTCATGTTGTTGATGCCAAATCTGACCCTACCATCCAAATAATGAAGCAGAAATCAAGACTCCAATATTGATCAGCCTGTGCAAATTGTAGCCTCAAGGCCTGTGCACACTAGGACGCTTTTAGCTTGTGTTTTCGATCTACGTTTAATTCCTCTTAACTAAATAAAGGGCACTAATGTGATTGTGCACACCAGCACACAAAATACCAGGCAAAAAGTGTCATTTTTTAGCACAGCGTCAAAAACTTCTCCATCAATCAGATTGGCGCTTTTGTTCACATGCACGGAGCTGCTGAAGTTACAGTAAACAGCACTTGGAGGCGCTCAATGTGGCGATATGAACGTGGAGCTGCTTATTGCACTGGAGAACAATAATAATTTCTATATCGGTAGAGATGGAGCTGCTACTTGAACCATCCATGTTTGTTCGAATCGCCAGTAACTTTAACAACAAGCATATCAACCTTCTGTATTTTTCTTCTGTGTTACAAGCGAATGTCAGAAGCTTAAGGGTGTGTAGCGCCATCTAACGTCAAGGAGTGATTTTGCATACTCGTCTGCTTGACGCCAGTGAAAATCGCTTGGGTTTGAATCAGGAAAAATGTCTTGAAAAATGCTGACGTTAAACACAAACGAAAAGCATCCTGGTGTTTACAAGTCTTCAGTTTCCTGTTTTTAGCTGACAGCAGTGGCACCCGATGTGGTCTTCTGCTGCTGTTGTGCGTTCAGAGATGCTCTTCTGCATACCTTGTAACGAGTGGTTGTTTGAGTTGCTGTTGCCTTTCTATCAGCTTCAACCAGTTAGGATGGTGTACAGTATATGGGGATGTTTTCTGTCTGAATGGATGAATGTAGTCTGTAAACCTATTCATTTCCTATGCCGGTCACTTTTGAGTGTAACAAGCTTGACTAAAACATTCAAAATTCAATGAAAGGGGTAATCTTCACTTTTAAATGTTCAAGTGCACAGTGTGGAGGATATCATAAGGCCTTAAGGCAATCAGATGTAAAACACAATATTTAAGAGTGTTTTAAGTTGTAAATCGGTCAGATTTAACCAGAACACGACAGGAAGGTTAACCTAGTTAAATTAGTTAAGCTTTTAAATTGCACTTTAAGCTTGAGAAATCTTTTTTTAAAAATGTCAAGTAAAATATTATATACTATCATCATGGATCAAGACAAAAGAAATTAGTTATGTTAATGAGTTATTAAAATTATTATGTTTAGAAATATGTGAAAAATCTTCTTTCTGTTAAACAGAAATTAGGGGTAAAATTAACAGGGGGGTTAGTAATTCAGGAGGGCTAATAACTCTGACTTAGGGTGGTGCTGGTATTCATCAGAAGTATAGCAATTCCAGTATACTATTTGACATTATGGGAACATTTTTTGGTTCCCATGAAAAAAAAAATAAATGTTAAAAAAAAAAAAGTTAAACAACTAAATGTTTTCTTTTAGAGTTAGGGTTAGGGGTAGGATTGAAGTAAATTGACAGGATATACAGTCTGTACAATATAAAAAGTATTATTTCTATGGGATGTCCCCATGAAACACAAAAATCCAGTTTGCACGTGTCTATGTGTGTGTGTCTGTGTGTGTTGGGGATTGGCTCTGTCGTCTTTCACTATGATTCACAAAACACATTCATCAAAAGCAGAGAAACGCTGTAAAAGCCCAGTGTGTTCTGTGTGCAGTCTTCACTCTGACCTCAATAGTAGCTCTTTAGGGATTCTGAAATGTTTCTCTTCTGCTGTGAATCACACTGACCTTTACAAATCTATACTTGCTTTCTCCTTTTTTAACAACATTCCTCCACTAGACAACCTTTCCCCCCAAGCTTATAGAGTCACCGAGACAAATAGCACTAGAGATGCACAATCGGTGGCTTAATCGCTATCTGCAGTGTTCTTTCTGTAATTATTGGTAATGGTCTGATTAGGCTGATACTGGAAGCAGATACTAATATCAGGGCTGTTTTTATTCTGTTCAGATGTTGTACTGGTTCACTGGCTTGTTTTATTTTCTGCTCTTTGTTAAAATTCTGTTGTCTGTTTTCATGTACAGCAAACTATAAAAGATCTATAAAAAATATTTTAGTATTTGTATTAATCTCAGTGGCAGCTGTAGCAACATCCTGCAATCTTTTTTCTGTTTAGTGTGAGTTTTTGTTTTCCAAAAAAAAATTTTTAATTGCACAACATTTTAAATTACAATAGTAATAAATCAATATAACAACAATCACAGATTTTAAGCAATAAATATGTAATGTTACTAACATAACTATTAGATGAATGTGAAATAAAAGCATTCCTTGATAAATCTATAATTTAAAGGTTTTTATTAACATAATGCGTTTAGTAATAATAATTACTATTATTAAATAAAATATAATTTGGACCCTATCTGGTTCAGAAATTTTACTACTCAAAGTTTTTTTTAACAAGACCCTGTATTAATATAATAACATTCTATGACTTTATAGAAAGTCTTTTTGAGAAAGGTTGGCAGATATAAATTATTATTATAATTTTTTTTTTTTTTATAATATTGTCATGGCCACATTAATTTATCATATTATTTGGGTATAACTTAATAATTTAGCTATTATGTCAAAACAAAAACAAAAATTGTATTATAATACTTTAAAACGGCCACTTTATTAGGTACACCTTACTAGTAACAGGTTGGACCAATTTTTGCCTTCAGAACTTGGCATAGATTTAACTATGAACTGAAAATATTCCGGACAGAGTTTAGTGCATATAGACATTATGGCATCATGTAGATGCTGCAGATTTCTTGATTGCACATCCATGATGCGAAACTCCCGTTCCACCACACCCCAAAGGTGCCCTACTCGATTGAGACTGGTAACTGTGGAGGCCATGTAAACTCATTGTCATGTTCAAGAAACTAGTCTGAGATGATTTGCGCTTTATGACATTGCGAGAATTTTCCTGCTGGAAGTCGCCATCAGAAGATAAGTACACTGTGGTTATCAAGCCATAAACATGGTCAGAAACAATTCTCAGGTAGGCTGTGGAGTTGACACGATGCTCAGTTGGTACTAATGAGCTCAAAGTGTGCCAAGAAAATATCCCTCCCACCATTACACCACCACCAGCAGCCTGACATGTTAATACACATGCAGGATAGATCAATGCTTTCATGTTGTTGATGCCAATTTCTGACCCTATCATCCGAATGTCGCAGCAGAAAGACCAGGCAATGTTTTTCCCATCTTCATTTGCCCAATTTTGGTGAGCCTGTGGGAATTGTAGCCTCAGTTTCCTGTTCTTGACTGACAGGAGTGGTCTTTTGCTGCTATAGCCCATCCACCTCAAGGTTGGGTGTGTTGTGCATTCAGAGATGCTCTTCTGCATACCTTGATTGTAACGAGGGGTTATTTGAGTTACTGTTGCCTTTCTATCAGCTCGAACCAGTCTGGCCATTTTCCTCTGACCTCTGGGACCAACAAGGCATTTGTGCTCACAGAACTGTGCTCACTAGATGTTTTTTGTTATCCCTAGAGATGGATGTGCGTAAAAATCCCAGTAGATCAGCAGTTTCTGAAAAACTCAGACCAGCCCGTCTGGCACCAGCATCCATGCCACATTCAAAGTCACTCAAATCTTCTTCTTCCCCATTCTGATGCTTAGTTTTAACTGCAGCAGATCATCTTGACCATGCATAAATGCACTGAGTTGCTGCAAAGTGATTGGCTGATCAGAAATTTATGTTAACAAGCTGTTTGACAGGTGTATGTAATGAAGTGCCCAGTTAGTGTAAACATTATTGATCTTTGCCCATTATATTGACATTTTTTTTAAATGGGCTTATTGCTCCATATGGTGGTTTTAAAGTGTCTTAAAGTAGTTTTTAACCAGACAAACCTAATAATTTACTCTTTATTATTATTATTATTAATATTATTATTTTAATCTAAGCCAGAGTTTGTTGTTTGGTAATTTTTTAGAATGTTGATAAAACTGCATATCTAATTAAGTACTCGCCTAATAATACACAGTTTTCTTTATTTATTTTCCTTGTTCCTTATCTATATGTGTAGTTATAAAACTGGTTGATATAACTGGCTGTTTTGTTTTCCAGGTCTGGGAGCAGTTGATCTGTTCGAAGTCTCCTATGGTGAACGTGTTTATGGCTGTTCCCACCATCTACTCCAAACTCATTGAATATTACGACCAACATTTTACTCAGCCTCAGGTCCAAGACTTCATCAGGGCTGTGTGCAAAGAGAGAATACGGTACCAACAAGCAAACCACAGTAATATCACTACAGTCCTGTTTAAAGCCTCAGACTTCAGTTCATATTCAACAAAGTAGAGCACCTCCCTATAAACAAAATTCTCTTTTATTCTATAATAAACCTGCAGCACATCAAAGAAGAGCATTTAAAGCGCCAACATATTTTACCTCAGGGTCAAGTGGCAAAACAGGACTTTTTGAAGAAAAACAACCAGTGCTAGTTTTCAGTTTTGCAAAACATGTGGAAAATAAAATGATTACCTTTTTTTCTCTCTCTCTTTCTCCTCTCTCTCTCTCTTGCTTGCTCTCATTAGATTTTCATTTGGGTCAAGCTAAAAATATCATATATAATACCAAAAAACAAAACTCATACAATATTCTTACTTTTTATGTGATGAAATCCATGATTTTAATTGATTTTCAAAGCAATTTCTTATGTGTTTTGAAAAGATTTTGTACTATAAAGGGGTTTTATGCAACATTTGTGATGAACATTTTCAGTTAATGGTTAATTTGACTGTGTAAATGTTGTGTTTAAAATTTTATTGTATAATGTCTTTGATAATTATTTTAAAAGTGTGTCTAAATGTTTTTTTTTTTATTATTCTCTCTTTCTCTCGCTCTCTACCTCTTTATCTCAGGTTGATGGTGTCTGGTTCAGCTGCTCTTCCACAGCCTGTCCTGGAACGCTGGGCAGAGATCACAGATCATGTGCTACTTGAGCGCTATGGCATGACTGAGATTGGCATGGCACTCTCAAACTCATATAAAGGACCTCGTGTACCAGGTACTGCAGCCCTTCATAAATGTGCAATAAATGACATTAAGTTATTTTGAGCAATATCACAATTTATGTGTCTTGTTTAGTTAACTCAATCATAGTTTCCCAAAAATGTCTCACTTAGTGTTTTTTTAACATTTAAAGAATGTTGAAAAACTAACCATTGACATCCATAGTCAAAAAACAACTAAATACTATAGAAGTCGATGGTTCCAGGTTTCCAACATCCTTCTAAATATCTTCTTTTGTGTTAAACAGAGCAACAAAAAAAAAAACTTTAGCAGAAGTTAATGTACATTTACTTACTTTGCCTTAACACACAAGAAGTATGCACACTGCTTTAAAAAGAAACTAAAGATTTCAAAAGCTTGCTTTATACTTATATTATTATTATTATAATATATAAACATAATAATTATACACATATCTCCACATATTATTTGTTTATTTGAAATGAACATCACAATTAAAAGCAGACTTGCTAATGCTCAAAACCTGTCCATGGGAAACTTGACAAAATAAAAAATAAAATAGATGCATATACACAACATTATAATTTTTTACATAAAAAAATGCTGTAAAGCAAAAGCAAAGATGGCATGATCAAAGAAACTAATAGTGAGCTATTTGTGCAAACTGCTGTTTTGTTGTTAACTACTAAAACATCTAATATTACTCTCTAATTTTAGGCTAACAGGTCAATCATTCCACAATTTGGTTCCCTTAACAGAAAAAACAGATTGACCAAAAGAAGTCATACACTTACTAGACAGTCACCATTAGCAGCTGCTCATGTGACTCTATGAAAGTTTTGATGCCTACTGATTAGATCTGAAACACCATCGGTACATGATTATTTAAACATTTAAAAAAACAATTTAAGATAAATAAATTTAATAAAACTATCAAAACTAAAAAGGTTTTCTTCACAATAATGCTGTCGTATATGCTTTAAATTCATCATTTTAGGGCGTACTCGCACCGTGCTCAGTGGCGTAGCGCAAAATGCGGAGGCCCCCCTGCAGGGATCGCTGACAGGGCCCCCTGATGAAGGGGGGGGGGGGGGGGGTGTTTGGATACGTTATACGTCAATTTGCATATCACTGACGTCACCACGTTCTACCGTTTCTGTTTAACAGCCTATGGTTAATAAAGGGGTATTTATAATTGCACTACACTTTATATAAGCATGTTTATTTAACTAAATTTATTGCTGTTTGAATACAGTATATCATTATAGATGTGTAACGTTAGTGAATGTGCAGTAATCTCTCATATGAAATAAACTCAGACAAGTTCAGAAACTGTCACTAAAATATCTGTGATTGTGAACAAGAAAAGAATAAACGGTCCAATTAAATTGTTAAAATAAAGTAGAAGTAGATCGGTTTGACTGTACAAGGGAAATACCTTCACACTGCCTGTGCTAAATCATTTGTCGTCGGTACGCAGAGGGGTGAGCTGCTCTCGGGCTGCAGGTGGGAGAGGCTGCTGTACGAGGACTGACTGGGCCGCCTGTCAGTGCTGTGAGGCGGTGGAGGGGCCGGCGGCATCACACGCAGCTCGTTGAGAAGAGTAGGGACGGTACAGTATGGACAAATGACAGTCTAAAAAAACTCCAATAACACACAAAAAAGTCGCTAGATTTGTCGCTAGGGGGGTCTGAAAAGTCGCTAAATGTAGTGACAAAGTCGCTAAGTTGGCAACATTGGCGGCAAGCAATCAGAATGAAGTAGTCCACCGCTTGAGAGGTGTTCAGAGAACACAGACGTGTGAACTTTGGTTCCACCACAGTTGTTCCCAACAGTTTATTGAAAATCGCGGCGACGCGGGGCCCCCTAATTACGCGGGGCCCCCCCGCGGTGCGTGCCCTGCGGGCCCGTCCGCTACGCCACTGACCGTGCTATCCGAACCGTGCCCATGCCCGTTTCCCGGATCGTTTGAGAAGTGTGAGTGCTCTGAATCGGGAAGAGAGCGCGGTTCACTCGGGCTTTGGCGCGGTACACTTGTTGTGTGAGTACAAAGCGCGCCAGAGCCAGAAACTAAAGATGAGACGTGACATTTAAGGGACTGTTTGATATGGATTAATTAATCCTTCTTACTGTTACTGTAAAGACGCAAACCTCTCACTGCATGACAGCTGCACCTTTAGCAAACTAATTCCTGCCGCACAAGGACTTTATGATAGTTTATTAGCCTCAAAATATTTGTCTGCGTGTCACTGCATCTCAAACCACTAAAACGATATAACTAAAGCAATCTCCACTTTGCTGAGCAAAAGTGCTTACTGAACAGTGCATCGTTGATGACGTAGTGTGAGTGCAGGCCGTCAGGAGAGACGGGAGGGGGGACATGCACGCTTTTGCCCGATTCAAGGCAACAGTGCGTGTGTAGTATGCCCTCAATTGCTTGTTTATATATCAAGTCAATATACTTCAATGTAGTTACAGAGGCTTGTGACCATGATGTAATGCAATATGACAAGTATGAGAATATCATTGTGTGCATCTTGATCTTCTTACACACATTTTTAACTTGACTATCAAATTTTAAATTAATGTCTAGAGCAGGGTTCACCAATCCTGGTCCTGGAGGGCTGGTGTCCCTGCAGGGTTTAGCTCCAACTTGCCTCAGCACACCAGCCTCAAGTACCTGTTTGAAATATACCAAGTAAGAGCTTGATTAGCTTGTTCAGGTGTGTTTAGGGTTGGCGCTAAAATCTGCAGGACACCGGCCATCAAGGAACAAGTTTGGTGACCACTGGTCTAGAGTTACGACAAGATTTTTAAAATTGTTTACTTCTTCAATAACTTTACTTTTAATCAGTACCTCAAGGGCTCTATTTTATTGATATTGGCACAAAGTCCAAAGCGCAGGGAGCAAAAGCATTAACGCCTATTCCGAATCCACTTTTGTTATTTTAAGGATGAAAAAAATCCACTTTGAGCCGCGGCGCATGGTCTAACAGGGTTGAGCTTATTCACTTAATGAGCTATAGGTGTGTTTTGAGAATAAACCAACCAGAGTCTCAATCTCCCATTCCCTTTAAGAGTTAGTTGCGTCACACCATGGTGCATGTGCTATTTACATGACGGACTTTGTAAGTGGAAAAACTGAGTGCTTCACTAGCAAGAGAAGGTAAACAGAGCATCTGCAGTTCGAGAATGAGAGATGAGCCTCCTCATTCTTTACTTCCAGTTTCACTCTCTTTCATGGATAAGGAAATATGTTGAACACACAGATATCCATTAGCCTATACATAATTAATTTTGTTTGTTAAGCACAAAGATTTGTTTCAAAACTATTTCTAAAGTCAATTCTAATTTCCAGCAAACTAATAAATGAACAATAACAACGAAGTGTGGTCAAAAAACTGAGTTACATTCAAATACACTATGCCCCATATGGTCCAGAATCTGGCAGGTGGGCAAATCTAAACTTGTTTTTAATAAAACAAATATTAATATGCATTTAATACATAATACTACTACTAAAAATAACATTATACAAAAGCAAATTGTCATGAATAAACTGAAAAGGCCTCCCTAGATGAAGAAGGAATGAAAGTGTTGGTTTTTATATTTATGTAGAAAATAATAATTTTTTATAATATTTTATTCCTTCAATTCGTTTTTATTTGTAAAGTTATTTTTGCATTGCTGTACGTCCTGTGTGTATTCAGCAATGTGTAAGCGAGGCACACAACTAACATGCTTTCCACTGGACTTTAGACCTCCTTTCAGCTGGTCTATTGAGCAGTCTATTTTAGATTCTCAAAATAGCAATGTGCCTTAACACACCTCCTTTTCTAGGCCAGAACACCTATGGGTGCACATACAAGCATTAATGCATTTGCTATTAAAACAGCTTGGTGCAACATTTCAAAACGACACTTGCGTCAAACTGAAGCAAACAAAATTTGCGTCTGCATTGCGCCGGGTGTATGATAGGGCCCCAAATGTATTCCTTGCAGATCTACTTCTTTTGAAGAAGCACATAGAAACTGTTTTCTTGATATTTGATGTTAAATGAGACCGCTAAGGCCTAAATGTTCTAAAGCCTGGGTCAGTTGCTCACCTGTTCAGCGATGTGTTTTAGCAGACACATACTGTAGATAAGTGTGTCATCTGCATATAACTGGCAGTTAACCCCTGTGCAGCAATTTGAAAGATTAGTTATGCACATTGTAAACAACACTGGGCCAAGAACAGATCTTTGAGGTACTCCCATATTGTTAGAATGCACAAATGATTTCCCCGCATTCACCCTCACACATTTCTGTCTCCCACCCAAACAAAACCTAAACCACTGTAAGGCCTCTGCTGACATTTTGAACCTAAATTATTTAGTAAGACACTGTGATTAACCATGTCAAAGGCTTTCTTTAGGTCCAGGAACATGGTTATCTGTCTAGGACATGATTACCTGTTATACGTCTGTTCTTGAATGTTTGCCACTATCTTGCAATTGAATAATAAGGCTGCTGATAAGCCTTTTGTGCTTTACTCTTTGAGAACATTTAATTTTTACTATGTGCAATGAGTGAAATAAAATCTAATATGAATTAACCTCATTGGTTCTTACAAATTAAGGTCATAACAGATGTTGAGGTGAAAAGACTTCTAGAGGGCAAAAACTCTCTGATTTAAGAAATCGATCCAAAAATCATAAAATAAAAATCTAAATGGTTTGGAATGACTGAGGGTGAGTCAAAGATTGAATATCTTTTGGTGGTGAACTTTTTTTTTTTTTTTAACTGATCAAATTCTAATTCTCCATTTACAGTATATTAACTTTTTCACCAGTTTTCATTTGTGTGCCATCCCCACCCCACCCTCCCCCCAACCCAAAATATGTACATTATTGTTCATAAAAAAATAAACATAGTACAAAATAAAATTAAATAAACACATTTTACAGAGTTAACCATTAAAACCATTAAACCATTAAAACCATCAACCACAAAAATGCTTTAATGCCATAAATGCTTTTTTTTTAACTTGGTT